TGTCATGGAGCAGAAACGGGAGCTGGAAGCATGTAAATATAATAATAACCACTGCAGCCAAGAAGAGAGCCTGACGAGCCCAGCTGTAAGTAAGCTGTTAAGACTCGACTGTACACTGTGTTCCTGGTTTCCTTTGAAACAATAAGCTCTGTTGCAGCAGCCTTTCAACGCCCCCTCTGTCTCTCACTAGCAAACTTGACCCAGACAACAAAGTAAAGCTAGTTTTCAGCTACGAGCCCGACACGAACCCGCCGTATTAGTCAGAGGTCCCTTTACTACGGTTCAGAGCCGCGGACCTGTTTTATATATGCGCGGAATAGTTTTCTATACGAGATCACTGAGGTGGCACGGTGGTTAGCGCTGTTGCCGCACAGCAAGAAGGTCCTGAGTTCAATTCCACCATCAGGCCGGCGTCTTTCTGTGTGGAGTTTGCATGTTCTCCCCGTGTCTGCGTGGGTTCCCTCTGGGTACTCTGGCTTCCTCCTACTGTCCAAAGACATGCAGCTTGTGGGGATAGGTTAATTGGATAATCCAAATTGTCACTAGGTGTGAATGGTTGTCTGTCCCTATGTGTTGGCTCTGCGACAGACTGGCGACCTGTCCAGGATGTACCCCGCCTCTCGCCCTATTACAGCTGGGATAGGCTCCAGCAACCCTGAAAAGGATAAGTGGAAGCGAATGGATGGATGGACGAGATCACTGCTAAAAGTGCAGTCCCACACCGGTTGCCCTGCAAATGAGACATACACACTTTTCTTTAACTGTTAGTTTAAAGATTTTTGTTTTCCATGTTTTTCTGAAAGAGTGAAAGCCACATCCTGCTCCTCATTGGAGCTACGCCCGCTGTCTCATCTCAGCAAAGAGCAAGACGGCAATTTGTCTTGATATTGAACCTCAGACCTCAGACAAGGTCCGAGATCATATATAGATACCGTTCTGTTTTAAATATGTTCATATGCTAATGAGACAAATAAGTGGAAATTGTATTTCTATTGTTATACATCAGAAAATTGTGAAGCTTTTATTTTGACATCCGGATAGACAGGAAAGCCTTTATCTTGACATGTGCATAGACAGGAACAGTGGGTCAGGATTCCAGCATCACCTGACTGTCGGCCCAGGAACTGTGAGAGAGTAGCGGTGGGGAGGTGCGGGAAATTTGAAGGTGGACATTCCATACGGTTTGAGTGAATTGTTTGGTTTTTGGACTTTGGACTACGGATTTGGATCACAGAGTTTGGCAGTTGGCATAAACTGGTGTGTGACTGGCTCGAATGGTGTCTCTGGTAGATGAGGATGATGAAATGGATTTTGGTGAATGGACCCTGGTTGCTGGCGGGGGAAGATCAGGAAGAGGGAGAAGCAGGGGAGAGGAGGCAAGTTTGGTTGGGTTGCAGACCAGTAAACAGAGTTTGGAAGAGAACAGCTCAGATGAAGGGTTCAGGGTCATGAGGAAGAAGATGGTGAGGGAGGAATTTAAGATAACTTTGAAATTCAGGAAGGAGGATCAGGAAGTGCAATTGAGCCCAATAGCGGTGTCTAGAGAATTGGAAAAGAAGTTTGGTGCTAATTATCCACACCTAGTCAAGTGTGGATAAAAGCATACCCGAGGTAGGCTTCCCAGAAGCTCACTGTTCTTTGCCTTGATGGCACCAGCCATTTTAGCCAACCTGCAATGCCATTTTAAGATAAACCTCTTCTCACTAACGCTCTGGTATTCGTCTCCTTTTTTATGTTGCGGCTTTTGAGCAGGGTCGTAACATAAGTGGGGGCTCGTCCGGGATTGTTTAGACATTTTTTTGGGACTGAAATCAGTTTGTTTTACTTTTAAGTGGGTGAGTGAAGGTGTTCACTGTGATTGAGCAACGTCCCTTTAGTAAGTGTGTTTTAGCTGGGTAGCTGTGCTGCCCTTCCATCGCAGCATTTGTTTGTTGTTTTGCTTTGTTGTTGTTTTCATTTGTTGTTTGGTGGTACACCACTGAAGACTAGGTAGGTAAAGTTAGGGTTTTATTGTTTTTAGCGTTTTAGGTTGGGAGTTGCACATAGTAAATCAGCGGCACCAAACTTGGCAGGAGGTTTGAGACCATTAATTCTGGTCTTGTAGCTGAGGCAGGTAGGCTGTTCTTAAGTTGGCATTGCGTGTACATCATGTGTGTGCATCTGATGTCAGTGTGGATGGATGCTAATGACATCCTCATAAGGTGAGTGTTTTGTGCTGTGGCCTTTATTGTGGCAGAGCGTGTGGCTACTTTGGTTAGATCACTTCTGAGCAATCATTGTGTGGCCATAGCTCTCTGTTTGTGGTTGGTCACTAGCATGCTTTCTTTACTGAGCTTTGGAGTTTAAAGTGACTTGTTGTGGTATAGGGCCACTTGTATGTGACCATTTGTGTGGTGGAGACAACAGATCAGTTGGTTGTGATTATTTGTTGCTACTTTTGGTTTTGTGTTGTAGCAGATCAAGTAATTATTTTGGGTGTGACTGTCGTGCTCCTTTGTGTTGGTCACATGTTACTTTTTGCGTGTTCAGTGTGGTAACTTCAAAATCCTCATGCAGGGGCGTCCCTGTTTAAAAATGCCAGCTAAAGAAATGTGAGTATTTAGTTCTATGTTAGAGCTGGTAATAAAGTGCTTAAGTTTATGCTTTGGCTCAAGCTTATGTTTGAGGGATCAAGGTCCAGAGGGGCTTTTTAAAAATTTAGGGGTCCTAGAGGAACCCTTTTGAGGGAGGAGGTGTTACGCAACCAGCTCCTCTGCAGCTCCTAATCTCCTCAATGTGTTCAGCTGGTGCTATTCGTCTCCTTATGTTACGACCCTGCTCTAAAGCCACAACATAGAAAAGGAGACGAATACCACAGTGTTAGTGAGAAGAGGGTTTTATCTTAAAATGGCATTGCAGGTTGGCTAAAATGGCTGGTGCCACCAAGGCAAAGACTAGTGAGCTTCTGGGAAGCCTACCTCAGGTATGCTTTTATCCACACCTGACTAGGTGTGGCCAGTTAGCACCAGCTGAACACATTGAGGAGATTAGAGGCTGCAGAGCGGCATAACAGATGGGTGGTTGGGGGAAGAAAGAAGGAACTTAAATTGGATCAGTTAGACATCTGTCAACAAGTGCCATGGCCTGTAATCCCTTCATGGATACTTTCTGAAGCAGCTGTAGGTTTTGCTTTATTGCACCAGAAGAGTAAGGACAGGGCAGGCGGTCTCGACTTAAATTCAGTTCAGGGTTACATTGAACAGTAATGTGGGTATGTGCAAGTATATACGTGTGCTTCAAAGAATCCAGCCAGTCAAGTGGGGGTAGCACTAGTAATTCTGGACTTTATGGTAGAACTTGGGAAGAGGATTAATGATTATCTGTTTACAGGAGAAATGATAGCAATTCTATTAGCGGTTCAGCGGGTGGAAGATTTGAGGCCATTGAAAGCAATTATTTGTTCAGATTCAAGAGCAGCCATGGTCAGTCTATAGAGCGGTCATTCGGAAGGTAGATCAGATATTTTAATAGAGATTCAGCAAACTCTTTTCAGAATACATATGATGGGTCTGTCAGTGTTGGGTTCCCAGCTCACTATGGGGTAAGGGGGAATGAATGAAGCAGTGGATGGGTTAGTAAAGGAAGCTACTAATTATAGGATAGTTGATCTGGCGGTGAGTTTTGGTCAGGTGGAAGTTAAGACTGTTATTAAGCGAGAAATGAGGGGTAGATGGGAGAAACAGTGGGAAGAAGAAAGGAGGGGAAGGTGGGAGTAAGGAGAGCCACAAGGAGGTAGGAGGAGGAGGTGGTGGTGGTGTCAAGACTGAGATTTGGACATACAGGATTGAATTCTACACTGTTCTTTATAGGGAAACATAATTCAAGGACATGTAACTATTGTGGAGAGGAGGAAACTTTGGAGCATGGTATTTTGTAGTGTCGGAAGCATAAGGTAGAGAGGAGACAACTGGTCCAAAGTCTCGGTAACATTAACTTGAAATTAGATCTTATTAAGTTATTGCAAAAGGAGTTGGGGAATAAAAGCTGTCAAGCCCTGTTTCAGTTTTTGAGAGAAGGTAATTTGGAAGGATATGAAGTAGGTTGGTTTTGTTTGTTTTTGAGCGCGATTCCTGTCCACACTCCATATCAGTGGTGGCGGTAACGCACCATGCAGTTGTTTGCCAGTTCAGTCAGTTCTTTGTATATTAGACAATTAGTAATGGGGTGTTTGAGACATTATTTTGTACCTTCCTTGAAGTGCAGTAGTTATAGGTCGTAGCTTCTGAGCTAATGATACAAGTGTACACTTGCCCACTACCTGCTTATTGTTCTTTGTATTAATATCAGATTGTATATCTACAGGATGCTTATCTTGAAGTCTCCTATGTTAGTGGCTAAATACACTTACCTGCTGATTGTATGACAATCATTAAGAGTTTAGTTTTATGTGTTTCTAGTTTCACTCCAGTTCAATGATGTCAGTTCAACACTATGTTCGAAGTCATTAAAGGAGTAAGTACGCTCACCTCCCTGGCTCTTGAGTTTGGCTGGCTGTTTATCTATGTTCACGCTCAGTTCAACAGTACAGACACATTCAATCAATTTCAAATTTTAATTCAGTTTTGCCATGTTCAAATCTACATGAATAAAAAGGACAGCCACAGTATTAAATACAAAGTTTAGAAGGTGACTAGTGGAACCTACCTCTGTTATACAGCAATCCACAAAAGTAAAGTTACCATTAAAAGTTAAAACAGCGTGCACTCACATTCTACCATGAAGGAAGTGATCAGGTCAGACGCAAAAGGCTACTGTGCCATCCTGCCTAAGGTTGTTTCTTCCGCATCTTAATTTGTTTTAAGCCAAAACAGTTCTGTGCTCTGTTCGATCTATCAGTCATCTCCTATAAAACAAGCCTAACACCAAATACCTCTGTATTTTTAAGAAGCTCTGCAGTTATTAAAAAGCATCAAATTGTGTCATTCCTACCCTTTCTGCTGATCACTTTAGCCTTCAGCTGAATACTTCTTCTTTTAATGCGCCTGCTGTTTTTCAAACCAGTGTTTGAGGGGACGTTCATAAGAGCAAACAAGCTGGTGGGAGACGGGGAGGGGCAGAGCGAACTTGTTCTCCGTCTCTGGCTCCCATCCAGCAGAGCGCCTCCTTCGCTTCCTGTTCTGTTTTCCTACATTCCAGACAAGCAGCGATACACAGACCTTTGTGGAATAATCCTAAGACCCTCAGACTGTTACAGGAG